TAAACTTCAAATTACTTATGTTCTGTTTAATTTAAGCTGTTTATTGGGTGAAATTATAACAACTAGCTCTCTGGATCTACTATGATGGATCTATTACCATTATTCATCTCTTACTAAAGCAAATTCTTTTGATGGCAGGTGGAATATTATGGAAGGGTCTCATCATGGAAAGGACTCGATCTTAGAGAACAACCAACTGGGCCATCATCCAAACTTATGAAGAGCTTCATTCATAGTTGTTCTGAAAGTGTGACAAAACAGTAGCAATCCCGACGTATCATTACTATTATTGCGGGGCTGGTTTCAGTCCCATTACTTTATAAACTTATATTTATTCTGACAACTTCTATTTAAAATAGTCTTTACTAATACTTCAAATGGTACTTATTTCCTCCCCCCCCCCCCCACAGTCCGCAATTTAGTTGAAGTACGGAATGGTCAGTCATTTTTACCTTCCATAATTTTAAAAAAGTTGCCTGTGGTTCATTAACTCATTCACTTTTCCTTCAATAATCCTTCTTTTGTAAAGCATATAGCTAATATTAATTCCTAAGGCTGAGCAGTAGGCGGAGTGGTGTAACACATCAGTACGGTCTACTGAAGATGCTGGTTCGCTCCCAGCCGCCGAATAACCTTTTGCACTATCTAAAGGAGAGAAATAGCTATAGCCCAGCTGCTCTACTCTTTTTAATTTGTAACCGTTTTAAATATAAAATATCCCTTCAAATAGGGATATATGGATTAGAAGTGTCACGGACATTTTTTTACCTGAAATTCGAAGTCTATCGAAAGAAAAACCCGCTAAAAAACAACCCCTTTCTGGTATAAGGTCAGTCATAATTCATTCTTCGCCCACTGGAACTATGATCCTTTACCTTAAAATCAAAAAATTCTTAAACATCCTCATTGTCTCATTTGGGTAATACTATTGATAATGGTCTGTCTATCCTTTTTGCTGCCAGCAATTTAACACAGAATTGTCTAAAATCTGGTTTTATTTTTCTTTTTTTTAAATTAATTTAGTCTAGTGCCAACATATTTTATCAATCGTCGGATCGTCTATGTAGTTAAAATTTGAATATGAAGCCAGATTTTTTAAAGCTGTTGGGGGATATCAGATATTTAGCAGGTTACTCTTCCAATATCTTCCAAATCCCCTATATATCCCAAATCCAACTTTATCTCTTAAATCCTCCGATATTTGGGGATTAAGAGAAATTTTTGGGATTAAACGATTTTTTTATTAAAAATTTTTTCACCTACTATATCAACCGAATCCCTCGAATTCTCTGAACTAAATTAATTTATAATTATTTTATTAATTAATTAATTTTAATTAATTCAGTCTTGTGCCATAATATTTTATCAATTGCTTTATTTTTACAATTATGCACAATTACAGATCAATCAAAAAATAAAATTTTTTTTTGGATTTTTTGCTTTTCAAAGTTATCATATCTGTTTATTTTGTAAAGGAAAAGAATAAACAATAAAAAAAAATTTTCGCGGATATGCTTTAAATAAATGTAAAAATAAGGAAAATTGATATTTAATTCGAGAGTGTTTTTTTCAATTTATAAATTTATTTTCTTTTAACAAAAAACTTAACTCTTTTATATACAATTTACACATTTTTACTTGTACGTACGTTAAAAAGTACACAAAGCTGTGTATATGAGATCCGACTGCAATTATGTTCGGGCTTGATTCTCGGTCTCGACTCTCGGCTTTTTTAACTCCCGACCACCACTAAAATATATACCAATTATTTATTTTATTAAGCGTTGACATAAATGGATAATTATAATGTTTATAATTGCTTTTTAAAAATTTAAAGTAATAATTTTTATTTAATTTACGCCGTTGAAATAAAAAACTTTTTTTATAAATTTACAAATTTAAAATGCTTCTTTCTATGCTTAAGAAACAAAGATTTGCCTCAAAAATTAATTTTGTCATCTTTTAATAGATTCCGTATCTGCAACTAGAGCCGGACCGGATCCGGCCGGATTTATCCGGATCAATCCGGAGATTACGAAAAAACCCGGATTTGGGATCCTGTCGGACCGGTCCGGCCCCGGTCACTACATGTATACCAATATAAAGTTTTCAGCCTCAAAAGTGGTTTCAAAGCAGATTTCATAAAAATAACGCTTGGGTTGGTCGTTTCAACATTTGGCCTATTTAGAAAAAAAACAGGCATGTGCCTAAAAATCCTAGCTCTAGTTATAACTTTATTTAAAAGTCGGAAAAAATTTTTTTTACTTTTTATAATTATTTTCCTCCATTTTTATTTTTATTTTAAAAATATTTTGAAAAGTTTCAAATATCCGCAGACATAAATAAAAAAAAATTTCACAAATTAAGTTCAAAAATATTTGTTTATTAATTAATTTTAATAAAATAATATTTTTATTAAAATTCTTGGTGCGTAAAATTTTTATTTAAATAAATATATGTAATTCTTTATATTTTCAACTAAGGTTGAACCCCGAACATCTTGGGCGGATGTGTCGGGGAATATGGTTTCCAACTGTTTCGGATTGAGAATAATAGTAAAAAATCGATCGTGGAGAGGGTAGGGGTCCGCAATTGAGTAGTAATCCTCGTGGACGCAAAGAGATTTTCAATTGCGTCCAACACTGATCGGGGTTGCTACTCTATTTTCAAATTAAATCGCACCTATCACTCCTTCGCTAAGCCTATCAATGGGGCGTTAAAGCTAGCAGATTGAACCCGCGAATACAATTATACAATTAAACTGGCCGGATTGAACCCGCGACGACTCTGACAGTGCTCGCTCGGCCTTGCTCACACAAATGCAATTGCTCAACTACTGAGCACATACATAGACGGTGGCTAATGCTTTCATTTTTATCCTTATGTTCGTTTAACCCCTGTTAATCGGATTAAATACTGCAGGTAAATCATCCTTACAATTGAAGATGAATATTAAGATGAATATTATCAGAATCCCTCAAAACTCATAGCCCTTACATGCCTTCCTTGGCAATTTTTTCACTATCTAGGTCTGCCTGTAGTTAACATGGAAGGTCTAAAATATTTTACTACTTATTATAAAAACAATTTCGACCCTTAATTTAATTTTAAGAAATATTTTGAAAAGTTGCAAATATTCTCAGACATAAATAAAAAAAATTAAGAAAACAATTTATAATAAATATTTACTCTAAAAATTTTTTCTCACATTAAGTACAAAAATATTTGTTTATTAATTAAATTTTAATAAAATAATATTTTTATTAAAATTTTTTGTCTTGAAATTTTTATTTTATAAATATGTAATTATTTATATTTTCAACAAGGGTTCACCCTGAATATTTTGGAGCGGATATGTAAGGGGTATGGGGTTTTCAAACTGTTTTGGGCGAGGAAATTGTAGAAAAAATCGCTCGTCAAGAGAGTATGGGTCCGTAATGCGTAGTAATCCTCTTGGACGCAAAGAGATCTATAATTGCGTCCAACCCTGGTCGGGGCCTGCACTCCTCGGCAACCCCCGATCTCGAACACTCTCATCCCAAAGGTTTGGGATGTCTATACTGTGCGGCAAATGGATTTTCCGAATACCAATACCAGTAGTATCGAAAAGTACCGAGTTGGTACCTTTGGTAGTGCCGATCTGTGCCGAACACTAATCTATACAGCTAAAATTATTGGCTCTTGTCCAGTTTATGCGTCCCATGAAAGTATATGCGTCCCATCAACAAAAAATTGGATATTTCTTGGTGTTGCAAAGTAGGGGTATGGTTCCAAAGCATTTCTTCATGTTCGGGATCTACGCCCACTGGGCCTGAGACTTTTCCTTGCCCTATACCTCGAAATTTCTGAAAGTTAAAATCGTTTTTCTGAAATTTTTAAAAATTGGCTATAACTTTCAGAAATTTCGAAGGATAGGGTAAGGAACGGTCCCAGACCCAATGGACGTAGATCCCGAACATGAAGAAATGCTTTGGAACTATACCCCTACTTTGCAACACCAAGAAATATCCAATTTTTTGTTGATGGGACGCATCTACTTTAATGGGACGCATAAACTGGACAAGAGCCAAATTATTTTCCCAATCATTTTTTCAAACAATTAAAAAAAATTTTTTCGAACCATTTTTTGACAAGACAATGCGCAGTGGTGAATTGGGCAGTGAGTAATTTGGGCAGTGAGTGATTTGGGCAGTAAACGTTTTTTAAAAAATAATTTTAAACGCAAAAACACTTTGAGTAACGTTAAAAAAATAATTTTGAGTGATTTGGGCAGTAACTTAGAATTTTTTAATTATTTAAAATTGATAAGAAAAATTCCAGGTATTTTTATTTAACTTAAAATAAATCCAAAATTTGAACATATTTTTCCAAAACTATTTTGACCTTTTTCGGATATTTTGGACCTATCTTGAGACCTAAAAACTTAAAATATGAATTATTTCTCAATTTTTCACACCTTAAATCTACTTATCACTTAGGGAAACGTCAAAATTGAGACCAAGACGATTTCAACAAAGGGTAATGTTGTACCTAAAACGTTATCAAAATGAAAAAGGGGTGCGGTTCTTTGAATTTTTGTGTAAATAATTTAAAAATTCTAAGTTACTGCCCAAATCACTCAAAATTATTTTTTTAATACCTCACTAGACCATTTATTTAAAAAATATATTAATGAGCAGCAAAAAATTATAAATATTTATGCTTGAATAAATTATTTTTTAATTAATTTTTAAAAATGTTTAAAAAAATAATTTCTGTGTGGTCAGGACTTGTATTTGCGTGGTTTATTAGAAAATAAAAAAAATTTTCTAATTATTTGTTTTTATAATTTAAAATAATGAGAAGTAAATTTTTGTGTTTTTTGTTAATAATAATTTTGTTTACCTCATTAGATGGCGTGAATTTTGTATAAAAGGCGTCTCTTTGTCCTTTACAAACAATGCTATCTCAAAATATCGTTCCTTAAATATTGTCACAACTGAAAGAGTTTACTAAATGTTTAGCCTCCGAGCAGGATTCGAACCTGCGACCTCCTGTCAGTTATTGCTAGGCGCTTTAGCCCACCACATAGTATAGGAGCTCTACCACTGAGCTAACAGGGCATCGACTAATGCTTTCTCATTTTCCTTTAGATGTCGAATCAAAATCGCAAAAGCTCTAGGTGAATCCAAAATCGCATTTGATGGAAATAGTCGTTTGTCATCTGTTGAGTTCCAAGGAAAAGGATATTAAGATTATACCGTGGGATCTATCCAGAGTCTGCCGGAGTCCGAAAATTATTTCTACCAGATTTTGGCCTAACTCAGACCGGTATGAGCGCGAAATTCAAAATTCGGAATTCGATTTTTCTAATGGAAGCCTATATGCTAAGCACAGGGGATGGGCCAAGCGGAATTTAAAAAGCGAAAGACGAAGGGTTAAAGTGAGATAAGACAGTAACTGACAGCTGTGCTTTATCTACACGAATAAATATAATACTAATTTTAAATTTTCGTTAATATTAAAAAAAAATTTTTTTAAATAGATGGTAGCTGATCAGAATTTAAAAAATATTATTTTTCGTGGTGTTTACATTGCTACATGTTGTGCTTGTGCAACATTTTTATTAATTATAATACGTCCTTTGTATAAATTTTCAAAGGAAAGAACTGCTCTATTTATTCTTTTTAGCAAGGCAAGTTTGAGGAAGAATTTTTCGCAGGCGCAATCCGCAACTCAAAAAAAATACGCAATCCGCAATTGCGGTCAGACTTGGTTTTGTTGAGAAAAAAGTGTCATTGAATACCAAATAAATTTTTAAAACTTGCAAACAAATTAATTTTTATCAAATCTAGACTTGTGGCAACCTTTCATATCAATTTTTTCAAATATCCGTCTACACAATTTATTATTTTCCTTCAATTACAGCAATTATTCCAGTAAATACTATTTCTCAACCTGTGGCTTTAGTTATAGATACTTCAATTTACATACATATAACTGTATTGGCATTAAATCGTTTTCATGCTGTTTACTTTCCTTTTAGTTATCAACAAATGTGGGATAAAAAGTATGTTAAATCTTTTTAATGAAATACTCGAAAAAGTGGTAAAATTGAAGTTCGTATACCCCCTCCTAGTGTTACGCCGGAACCGCAAATTTGGCAGGAACCGGAACTGTACAGAGCTATTGAGGAGAGTGGTAACCCACTACTATTAGAATAAAATTATTTTTTTTAAATATTAAATTTCAGAAAACTGAAATACATAATTTTTGTTATGTGGATAATAAATTTGCTTTGGAGTGCTGGACAATACCTTGGAATGAATTTAATTCCTTATACGATTAGAAAAAACATGTTTTTCATTTTTATGTAGGTAGTTTTGTGATACATCCTCTACTCTGGGTTGGGATCAGCTGACTGAGCTTGGCTCACTGAGATCCAGCAAACTTTAATCAACCATAGCTTTTCTGGTCTTGATTCCATCAGAATATTATCTAAAGCCTCGATAAATGACATCTGTTTCCCACCGGATGAATCAAGTCTGATACTCATTAAAAAGTTAAACTTGATAAATGGGAGAAACATCAAATATTTAGTCTCTTGTATTTTTAATGATCACTAGTAGAGATGCACGAAAATTTTTCGTTTCGTTTCGCGTTTCGTTTAAAAATAATTTTTTCGTTTTTATTTTCGTTTTCTTTTCGCACATCGGCGAATTTATTTTTTTCATTTTCGTTTCGTTGAGAGCGAAATTTTATTTTCGTGCATCTCTGATCGCTAGGGTAGTCCAAAATATGTACATATGCGAGGAAGGAAACAACATTTTCGGCTCTTACTTTAAGGCATATCAAAGCATACAGTTTCATGTTTAGGCACAAATGATCAGACTTCATTCATCTAAGCAATTTAACGTCCGTAAAAAGTGTTCGAATGAAAAGCACTGTAATCGTTACTGTGCCCCGTAGTCAATTACATACGCCAATGTTCTCGCGCTAAAGTGGCCCACAATTAATTTTAATTTAATTAATAAGATCATACACTTCTGGAATACAATATTATTTGAATACAACTTACTGTAATTGTAAATAAACTTGGACAGTACTGCCCCATAAAGTAGTATAGATATAGCTATTAATTTAATTAATAAGATCATACACTTCTGGAATACAAAAATATATATTATTTGAATACAACTTACTGTAATTGTAAATAAATAGCTATATCTATACTACTTTATGGGGCAGTACTGTCCAAGTTTATTTACAATTACAGTAAGTTGTATTCAAATAATATATATTTTTTACAGGAAAAGGTCATGAGTATGCCAGGTACAAATTTACAGACCGGCATAGGACAAGATCCCGTACCACAGACGTTCGTAGAAGTTACTCCCGAATGCGGGATCCCTCAAAATATTTTGTATTTTTGGGGATTTTTGGAAACCGGAAGATTTTGGCTCTATGGCCTACATAACTCTAAATAATGTTATTGAAATAAAACCTGCGGTACCTTGGGGGTGTACTTTGCCCTGTTCCACCTACCTTTTATTAGTCTATAAATTTTAGCGACCATACTCAATTAAGTAATTATCAAAGATTTTTAAAATATAAAATAAGAAATTTAAGAAACAAATCAGATCGAAACAGTTGACGAAAGTCATATTGAACGTATAAAAATATTAATCGTTTGTTTGGTTAGTATACTTCCATGCCCATGGTATCTTGCAGTTTATACAACTTTTAGCAAAATCGAATTTACTGAAACATATAGTCAAACTCTTATGTATTGTGTACAGTATGCATGTAGCACTTTAATCCAATGCATTGAGGAAATTTGCTTGGTTGTTATCTCAAAAGATTTTCGTAAAGTAATCAAGAGCCAATTTATCAAAACTACACAAACTCATGCTGTTGTTGCAACGGTTTACGTCTCACAAGCTTCAAATCAACAACGAATGCGTCAATTTAATGTACAACGTGATAATCTTGTTCGTAACAATTGAAAAGGACTTTCTTCCTCGATTTTACTGATTTCTCTGTGGCATATTCAATGAGAGGTCCATAAAGAAAAGATTATTTTTAAATATAAATTACCAATTTTTAAATATACAAAGATATTTGATTTTCTTTTTTCACCTATGAATCTACATATTCCGTCCCGGATGAATTTTTAAAAAATATATAGTACATGTAAATCTAAATAAAATTGTATTAAAATGGTAACTTCAAGTATTTATAAAGAAATTTTAATCATTTATCACGACTAATCTTAACAAATCATAAGAAACAGAGACGGACGAAAATATAATTTCGCTCTCAATGAAACGAAATCGAAGATTTCGTTTATTTATTTATTTTATTATCCCTGGTGTAGATGTCAAAATGTATCAAATATTTGATCAAATTCAAATATTATTAATATCCCTTCAAATCCACTGATTCCTCCGAGATATCAGACAACTTGTAGGGATTAGGAGTGATTGTGTGATCTTGAGGGGTACGCCGAAATCGATCAAACCTCCGGTATCAATTCAGATCACCTTAATCCAGCAAAATCCTCCTATATCCCATTAATCTTTCTTAATAAACTATTAAAACTATAAGCATTTAAATCTTTACATATGTAGGTCTCGGAATGAAAATATTTTAAATTTTACATACCCCTGCGAGAAAATTTTTCATTCTTTGTTTTTCAGCACCTCGATATCCATTTTTCATAAGCTTTTATCCATTAAAACCTCTTAATCATTGCAAATCCGTTTTAAACCACCCCTATATTCTTTTAAATAAATCCAATGATATGCATGATATCCCGACTACCTATATCAACCTTAGTCGTTTGATAGATTTCCAACTGGTGCACTAAAGAATGCTATGCCTCAAAATTGAAAAAATTTTTCAAATTTTAAATAAACAATTGAAAATCATTAATCCACCGATTTTGCGTCGCCGGCGAAAATTTTAAGAATTTTGGCTTAAAATACGACAGAAAAACTAAAAAACGTCTAAAATATCACATTTTTTCGTGATTTTCGTCCGAAAATAGTAATTTACGAAACGAACACGAATAAAATTATTTTTTCAACGAAAGGAAAGAAGAAAGGAAATAAATTTTCTAACAAAACAAAAATTTTCGCCCATCTCCTTTGTGAATTTTGTGGAATGACATTTATATACTTTTTAATGCATGTCATAATAAACATAAAAGCTTTTTAACTCAGATTTAATGTTAAACTACTAAAGCTGGTATTACCGCGGCTGCTTCATAATCCTCAAGTTTTCTTTAGATTATACTAACCATACCAGTTGATCATATTGTTTTATACACGTTTATTTTTTTCACTTTTATTTTATTCTGGTTATTTGTTTTTCAATCAGATTACAATGACATTTGTTTTTTTTTATGCATTTTTTTTATGCATTTGTGCCATAATGTCAAATAAATTATTATTTTATAAATCTTGTTGTCCTCTTTATAAATCTTGATTTTGGCGGATACCCGCACCTCACAGGATTTAGGATTAGGATTTCGGAGTTACGATTTTCGTCTTGCAAAGTTAAACGTTGTCGGCTATTCTAACCACTAAAATTTGGTTGTCCAATGGATGTGGTGAGCTTCCTAAACTGATTACTCTCATTATAAATGTAAGGAAGAGAAGGATCCAGCATTTAAAAAGTTAGGCGGGGGGTTTAAGATCTATTAAAAGAGAAGGTGAATATGATTTAATGCAAAAATAAAGCTGGTATTACCGCGGCTGCTCCATAATTCTCAAGCTTTCTCTAGATTATACAGTTGGTAGAGCACCTGTACGTGGTGAGTGAAAGCGCCTATCAATAACTGCCAATAGGTCGCATATCGAAGCCTGCCCGGGATTAAACTTTCACCTCTTTCTTACTTAAATTACTATTAATAGCTCCAAAGATGTGTTTTATAGTTTGTTCCGACTATTATATTTTTAAGTTTTTTATCCATTTAGTATCATATACTTCCTCATATTATATTCAGTTAAATTTTAGAAAGAATTGTTTACTTCTTATCAAAATTCGTGGCATATATTTTCAGTTTATGAATATTTTTTGCTTTCTAAATAAATATTTTTATTTGTACATCCTTTGTGTTTACTAACTTTAG